TATACATATACATATATATTAAATGTATAACAGTTCTTATAAATACATTGCCCTCATCCTTAGGACAATGTGTGAGCGACCGCATAACAAATCAGATATTTATACTAAAAGCTTAGATGCCCACAATCAAATAGCTTCGTAATTGTATAGCGCAATGCGGTGATGTGATGAAATGACGTTATGGATAAAGCAGTGTCGCCACTGATATTTTTCCATTCAGTCACTGAAATCGCATAATTGGGCTGGCCTCCCGCCACTGTCTTTCGGTAAATGAATCTTGACAGCCCTTTAAATCCCTGTAAAAGCCGGTTCTCAATGTAACATTTGAGTATAATTTCCTGTGAAAGTATTTACTCTAAATACGCCCTTGTGGATAGTTCATTGACGTTCTGTACATAAATTCTACGACCTCACTCAGTGGCCGAATCGTCATTGGATTTAACTGGTCTTTCTAGATGCAGCACACTTTCCAGCGCTTTCTCCACTTCCGCAACCTCTGTATCTATAAAGTGACAGACCTTCTCCACTGTATCTCGTCCTTTTTCTGCTCCTTTCTTAAACGAATCCATCACAGCTGTTTCGGCTCTAGATGCCAGATAGCTTATATTGGCACTTATTTGACACTCCTGCTTGAAGTGTGTGGTGTTGTCATCCAACTGTGTATACGTACAGGTTTCTTCAACACTCACATAGTTATTTAATGTGATATTCTTAGACCTCAATACCATTATTTTCTGCCTCGGATCGACCTCAGAGGTTTCATACACATACCCACACGACTCACTAACACCAATTATAGGGCGAATCCATGAAGGTATGACCGACTCCACGGTAAACAATCGCGTACTGGACATGACCCCATTGTCACTCACTGAACGGTCTATCACATCCGTTGCAAGGACGTGTGGTAGTAGCACCTCACTTAAGGGAACATTGTATTTCCTCCAACTGGCTTCGGTGACCTTAGTCCATGAGTGAGGAAAAATGTGCTCAGTCGTCCAGAACTTCATACTTTTAAAACGCAAATTTTAAGTCTTGTATATAAATTTATATATATTAAATCAGTTGATAGTTCGCTATCTAAAAGCCTCACGTCGCGATTGACAAGAGACTAAAAACGCAGCTGTTAAATGTGCCCTACGTTATTCTCCGCTTCTCGAGTGCGTTTTAATAGTAGTTTTAGGTCTCTTGTACGAAGTATGTAAATAAATATATACACGCAGCAGAGTATAACACTTTGATATATATACATATAGATATGTATTTAGAAGATCTCAATAGAGGGATTGGGGCGGCGGGGAGTTTGTTTTGAACATGGCTTTTCAGTTTAACGTTTGTCGTCATGTGATACAGAACACCAAGTGGCCTAAAAACAGCTGTGCACTTGCCCCTCAACTCCTCGTGTCGCCAGCTGGGCAAAATGTAAATTAAATCTATGAAAATGGACCGAAATGTCCTCGAACATAAACATGTACACGCCTTTTTGGGTTAGGCTGTCATCAAAATTTCATAGTCTATTTATAGTATTTTTTTCGAGCATAAACGTAAAGCGGATGTACGGTTATTATTGTCAGATAAAGCGCTCGCCCGCACGATTGTATATATTAATAATCCTATATATTTACGTTTGACTTCGGTCTTCTTCGGTCTTCAATGCGCGCTTCTCGCATTCTCCCTACCCCTTGCTCTTTAAATACTAGCTAATAGTGTGTGTGAGTCTTAGAGAGAGAGAAAAAACAAAATTATGATGTGACGAGACAACAGCTTGATGCCTGATGGCTACCCTCTCTACTAAATATTTCGTAGATTGAGTCGGTTTTTTATCTACTTTCGCAGGTCCCATTAGGTATTTGACCGTACAACCTTTTAATATGTAGGCTCAATTAGAAATTCGATTACGCGCAACGTATCCATATCGTTCTGATCATATACTTAAATAATGCTCTCAAGTACATAGTATGTATCATGAAAACTTGACGATGTACAGGTGACGGAAGATTCTTGTCCAATACAAACATATCGCTGTAAGTCATTTCTCATACTGCTTGGCAATGGCCGAAATAAAGAACGGCTACAACTACTTGTGACATTCGAGCAACTCAATCCACGTGTCTGTGTAAAACATACACGGTGATCACAATATATGGGCGTACAAAGAGCGTCCTGAGTTGACACTATCTCGACTCAGACTACACAACTCCTAAGTCAAAACAGACACCCGGAAATACAGGGCGATATTCAAGTTCAATAAGGGATATGCGAGTCTGGCCGGCTGAAGAAAACTACTTCAAGGTCGGCGAAAAGATCAACACAGATAGTTAGTGCAAGGAGTGATAAACGTGGCCAACATAGCAAAAAAACTAGTCACACATGTTTTCTGGTCTTTGTTCATACTTCTCTCTACACATGTGACCGTGGACAAAAAGTCCTGCCGCGATGTTCATGGGCAACGGCATATATCTCAAACCTCCAAGATAAGTCTTTTTCTTGCAATCTAAATCTTTGTACGTCGAGTATGCTTCTATACGTATTCCTTATGCCCTCCCTACTCCCCACCGTACTGTATATTGTAATTAGACTGCGAGTCAGCCTTCCAACTAATCGGACCGATACCATTTTCGTCTCATAATCTCAGACCGTGACTAACTTTATAGTCGATCAAACATATGGACACAACGATTCGATGTGTGAATAGGTAGCATCAATGTTCAATAGGTAGACTGCTTTCTGATAAAAGTTTAGAGCCAGAGAGCCTCTGTCTCGACAGATGGGAACGTAGAGGCCGTAGAGGCGTACATAAACTCTCTTTCTCCTCTTGCGAGAGTTTTGTGAAAGTTGAGGTGTCTGTGTCTTTCAGTTATTGAATATTATGATCTAGAATCATCTATTGACATAATAAAAATATTTAGAAAGCACTCTGGACTCTGGCGTTTATAGCCTCTGACCTCTAGGCTCTGGCATATCCTTACAGTGACCTTATAGGTTTATACAGAGACCAGAGTACAGACGTCGGACAGTCACAGACTCACAGTCTGTCACAGACTCGCAGCAATCAGCAATTCAGCATACAATAATATTGCCTCAGTGCGTTCTACGTCGGTTTTACTTTTATATTATTTATTATTTTTGAAGTTGTTGAAGAAACACTTTTTTTATTAAAAACCTAAAAACGGGTTTATACCTCAACTGAATTGTTGTGACCGTCTTCTTCAATTATAGGGACAGTATAGGGAGACATTATCGCGACATTGCACCTTGGGGCGCTGAACATGCACTTATAGTCATAAATATGGCCCATAGCGACAAAAATAGGGCAATATCGATATAAACGTTTATTGAACGTGTATTTTGTTTTTTAAAAAAAATTGTTTAACGTAGAACGTATTGAGGTTTGGAGTCTTGGACACTGAGAGATTGGGTGCATGACAGCAATACTGCGTGTGCACATTGCACATTTGCACAACGTTAAAAAAACTAAAAACAAATTTTCGCCATCCGTCCATTAATGGATGATAAGAAAACGTACGAACGGTTCATCGAATCAAAAGGCAATCAAGGTATTCGTCATACTTCTATTCCAGGCGAATTTGGTGCCAGGGCGGCCTCCAGTGAAATGGGATTTCTAGCTCGTACGAGTGAGAATAAAGCCTACTCATAAGCCAATCAGAATTCTAAAGTCACGGCCACACCATATTTATATACTCTTTCCTAATTGTATTCCACTTTTCCAGAGATTTAGCTAACAAAAACTCCTCAGACTTTATTGTCTACCACCAGAGATGGCAGGACTGAAATCTCCTGATCACTTCACTTTCTGGTCAAATATAGTATCGTTCTCACGGATATCGTCACTCTTTAGTGAAGTATTCGAAACATACAACAAGAGCTTTGCAGTCTCAGCATCACTTCAGTACATCACAATGGCTTCCCTTTCTTCCCGCGCGTGTGCCATCGGCCGCACCTTCACCCGGAACTACTCAGCAACTGTGAACACTATCGAAGCACCGTTTGCAAAGCCCTCATTCCAGCCTAGAAAGCTACAGGGAGGTGCCGCAGCCGAGTCTGTACGCCTGTCGTCACGCCTGGGTCGCACAGGTGTAACATACAGACGATACGATCGCAAGCGCTTGGAATCAGTCCTCCCTAACTATGAGGTGTACACAGAGAAGGGTATCCAAGATCCACGTCTACCTATTCCTTGAAGATGAATATGCTGTATAATTCGTAAAGCACTTGTCTGGTATCCTGCGTCGTGCGTCACGCACCATGTAAACCTGAGAAAATCCTTAGACCAAAAAGGCCTGGTGGAGAAGCGGATGTGTGTTTTATAATTTTATCACATCTGGCTGAGGCAGCCTCCAATTTTGCGGAGCTACTGTTAAGAAGCGTAGGGGCTCTCATGCTCGAATCAAGTTGATTGTACTTTGAACTTCCGAGAATATGAGAACGAGGGTCTTTCGTCGGTGGATCAGACAATGGCTTCCTTAACAACAGCGTATAATACCATCTCTATTGTAAATATACACATTTGACGCCAATACGTTCCACGATTACAGCTTATGGAAATGAAGCGGAAGTCTGAGTTCAGCATATTTAATGATGCCGACTCCTCACCAAGTTAGCGAGAATTCAAACTGGTGGACCGGAGATCAACTCACGACCCCCTTCCACGAATTATATAGACAACATGAAGCCTATATATCGTATGATCTTTCCAAATATACTTTTTACAACTTAAAATAACGGTTTAAATCAATTAAAATATATCTATTGGCATATTTCGTATATTCACGCGACTGTTTCCGAGAACTTACCGACTTTATTATCGCAGTAACGATCGATCCTATTCGGAAAGTAACTACGGATCATGAGAAGTTACCCAATCGATTATGTAAAAATTGGGACTGCAGGCCGCACTTTTAACACAAATATCCAACGACCATATCATTTATCAAGCGGTAATAACACAGCTTGTATCTATGTATACTAATCTTTCGAAGGCAACAATCGCTTCGACAGTATAAATGGGCTCACATACACACATACACACACGCACGTTGCACACACACACATTGCACACAAACACACACACA